TTGGATATGTTGAACATTTTATCCTTTTGCTTCATTCTGTGATTTTATCAGGGTGAGGAGCCTCAGGTGGTTAAATTAAAAGCAATATCTGCAAAGTAGTACTTTCAAATGAACTACACGGAAGGAGAAGTTTCTTTACCATAAAACAGTAATGAACTTTAGTTGCCCTAATCTGTTAGGGGCATTGGGACATAAACACCAATAATGTGCTCAGGGCTACAATCGATAGCATTTTTGTCTTATATGCATTTGGCTGTCTGCAGTTCCTGCAGTCTTCAACAGCATGCTGGAGGTAGATGCTGCTTACATTAAGCATTTGGAAATATTTTTTTCCATATTTTGATGATCATTATTCTCTATATCCCATTATTAACCAGACTTTTCAGTTTCCTCGTATTATCCATTTCTCTTTGTTCATCTGGTTCTCAAGCATTTAAAAGTCAAATCTTGTGTCATCACAGATTATAAAGTTCACTTGACCAGTGGTTGACTTTGGAATAATAAATTGTTGTTTGTACTAACCATGAATCAATGGTTTAACTTCTGGTCAACTGTTCAGCATCAATGTCTCCTGTGACAAGTAGTGTGCTGAATTTTTGTGATATTGCACATTAGATTTTACTTCCAATTCTGGGTTCGTTGTAGTCCTCCATGATAAATCTATACAGCAAGCAGGTCACTGTTCTTCAGGTTCTGCAACACTTTCCTTGTGATGGGACCAGGCCAAAATCTGCAAGGGAGTGTCTCCAGTTTTTCCACCCATCTTCAAGAACAGTGACATCAGATGTGTCCTTTACTCAGTGATGACAGAAAAGCCTTGAGCTTGCCTGTGGCACTTTCAAAAGTGGTTCTGTAGTTGCTCCTTTTGATAACCATTCAGATACCCTTGGTCAGGTAATTAATGGCATCAGGGGAACAATTTGGAACTACAGATAATGTGAATATTCTTGTGGACTCAAAATAAAAAAGATAATTTCCCTGTGACTGAATTCTTCTGGATCCTAGGATAATTCAGGTTGGAAGGGGCCTTAGGAAGGCTCTACTCCAGCCTCCAGCTCAAAGCAGCCCAGTTCTTTACATCAGACTAGGTTGCTGAGGGTTCGTTCTTGAAAACCTCCAAGGACTGAGAGAGACCGCAGAACCTCTCTGGGCAACCAGGTCCATCACCTGACTGGCCTCATGATGAAAAGTTTTCCTTATGTCCAGCATGAGATTCTCTTATTTCAACTCATGTCTTTGTCTGTCATCTTCCCACCATGCATCAATGTGCAGAGCCTCAGCGACCTCCCCATAGGTACTGCCAGGCTGCTATCAGGTGCCCCACAGCTGTCTCTTCTCCTAAACAAATCCAACTCCCTCAGCGTCTGCTTGCAGGGCAAGTCCTTGACCATCCTCGTGACCCTCAGCTAAGCTCGTTCCAGTTTATCAATGTCTTTCCTGTATTGGAGACCCCCAAAGTGGACCCAGTGTTCTAGATGTGGTCTAATGAGTGTGGAGTAGAGGGGGACAATCACTTCCCCTGTTCATCCAACCCAGGAGGCTGTTGGTCCTCCTTGCTGCTGGGGCACTGCTGGCTCATGGTCAGCAGCTGCCCACCAAGACGCCCAGGGCCATTCTAGGGGAGCAGCTCCCTGAGCATGGGGTGTCCAGCCTGTGCTGTTGCAGGGCTGAGGATGAGGACAAGGGATGTTTGGGTGCGTGTTCCTCTTCTGAGGGTAGTCTAAAATGAAAAACGTTCACCAGACTTGAATGATCTATACACTGGCTTGTGTGTACTGTGCATCTTCTAGAGCTACAACTAGTTGTAACTTTACTTCCGATTTAGAGGTTAGCACATTGAAAGACCCTGGAGAGTGTAAAAAAAAAAACCACCCATGTTGATTTATAAGTGGTTATACTAAATGTAGTACCTCCAAATTTGTTTGTCACTGTTTATTTTTAACACCTGTAGCTTTTAATTTTTACTTATTGTTATTGTTTTCTATTTCTTTAGAATTAGAATAGTTTTATTTAATATATCAGCAGTGTCTACCTCAGTTAACAAATGGTCTGGTTCATTCAGCTAGAATATTTTGTTATCTTCCAGCTGTGCTGCTATCTTGGTAACTTTTACACTGGCTGATTATTTAATCATTAAACCTGAAATTTCTTGAAGTGTCAAGGGAGCTGTATACAAATTAAATCAAGGAGTTCTTTAGCACTGCTGCTTAAACACAGGACATTTATAAAGGAATACAATTTCCTTGGGGTTACTTCAGCTTTCTCTGTGGCCTTGATTGTTCCCTCTAAGTTTTATCTCTAAAAGAACATTCTGTTACAAATTACTGTTTTGGCTGAAGAAGCTAGATGCTGCTCTGTCTTACCCTAAGGGTTCATTTATTATCCTTTGATATTTAACAGAGTTGTTGCTGAAGAGCATCTTCCTTTCCCAGGAGAAAAAGACTGAACTGTAAGCCTGAATTCTAGCACCCTGCAAACCGCGATGTTAACCCTTTGTTTAACTTGCGCTGCAATTCTAGGAGCTTTTCTGAAAAGTGGTCACCTGGGATACACGATTTCCAAGGATGTTGGCTTCAGTAAATGTAAGGTATCTGGCTCAGGTTAGGGTCTTAATTTTATTCCCCTCCAAATTTAAAGGAATTGTAGTTTACAGAGGGGATATGTTATTATCTCTCCTCTCAAAAGGTAAAGCTAGAAATAAAAATCTTTGCTCCCTACCGTTCAGTAAGAATAATTTCAGGTGTATATTATTTCTGTGAAAGTATGGATCTGTTTTGCATATGTAGCTGACCAAAAGGTAACTGAGTTAGAAGCATGAATTTTATGTTTAGTTTCCAAAATGGCAAGTCCACTTTTATTCTGAGGTTTTCTGGTGTGGATTCCATTGCTGAGAAAGTTGCTGCATTTGCACTTGTGAGCTTTCTCCTATTGTCTGACAGTTTCATTTTTGGCTGAAACAGTGGAAGGTCGTGGTTGTGCAGGGGAACGCAAGAGCCAGACCCAGTAGAGATCATGTGTATTAAGAGACTATTGAGTTGAGGTTTGTGCAAAACAGGAACTCAGCAGAATATGGAGAATACTGGAACAGGGACTGGAATACAGCAGCAAAGAATTTGTGGACGTGTGGTCAGCTTTTTCCAAGATAATGTGATGTAATGTCCTTTCTTCAATAAGTGGAAAGAGCACAGTCTGTCTTGGTCAGCTGCAGGTGGACAAGCATGCTTTTGTCATCACAGCCATTTGGGTATGAGTAGACTGAGGAATCACAAACATCTGTCTTGACAGTCTGAGCCTGTTTGAAGTCACGTTGCCAGGTGTTCATCAGTTATCTTCTCCTGCATACATTGCATCGCTTTTCTGGGGTTCATCTTTAGTCAGCTTCTCTTCAAGTGCAATGTGGTTTTAAGTAGATACTGAGAAAATGGGAGTTAAGTGGTGGTGACTAGCATGAAAGAATAATACAACTTGGAGTGTTGTACATGTGTTGACGACACCTCATTCGGCCTTTCTACATCTTCTTATAATAATATAAAATAAGAGGGAGCAAAACAGCACTGTGGCCATCTGCAAAATCCATAGATAGAAGAAGAAATAAAACTGTTTTTACAGTACGCAGGAAAAAGCTAGATTCGCATCAGTTTGTGTGTTCACCCGTTTAGTCTCTTGAATACAGAAGTATTTAATTCATAATGGTACCAAATGTGTATGTGTGGGAGGGGTGGAGGGTGTTTAGAAAGCTGGGAATAAAGATGTGTTTTTTTCAGTCATCAGAGTACACTGGCTGCATTTACCTTTGGCTAAGGACTTTCTGAGAAATATTAGTTCCAAGTAGCGACAACTTGTTAGCTGAATGAGTGGAGATTTAGTGTTGCGGGTTTTTTTTTTCTTTTAGAAAAAGATTAACTAGTTCTGGGAGACCTTGATGCCTTTTGTCTTGTTCTGAGAAGTAAGTAGTCAGAGTTATGGACAACTTCTATTATTAGGGAATATAAGTGTGGTAATCTGTGTTCTCAGGGTGATTACAGTCGCAGTTCTTGGAAGGTTAATATTTGTAGTCCACCTTTTGGCTTGTCATAGTTGTCTGCACCATTACAGATGTAGGTGAGCATGTAGTGATTGCTCTTGGGTGCTTGCTTTCTCACCTTAGTATGTAGTACCAGTATTAGTTCATAACAAAAGTTTATATTTTGACTATGAAAAAGTAAACCAGCATATCTTATTTCATAGCTATGATTTGTCTTCTAAACTTCCTTTGGCTATCTAAAGAGAATCCTGCCAGCAAAAAGTCTTAAATGGATTTTCTGGAATTGTTGAGAAACCAGATGTTGAAAATCAACCTTTTCAAAACTTGGCAGAAATATTTTCCATAATGTTTTTTGTCTACCTGTCTTCCTGTTTTATCTGGAACCTGTTTAGTAAATTTGGTTTATCATATTTCTTATAAAGAGGATTTATGTGAGCATGACTTACTTATTCAACCAAAGCCAACATACCTAAAATCAGCATGCTAAAATTCCAGGAGACAAGCTCCTTTAGCTTATTACTACATTTCATTTTGCTTAACAGCCTGGGCCCAAGAGGAATGAAGAGTATCTCATTACAGTGTATTTTGTAATGTAGAATGTAGGGCATTTCTGGAAAACGGGGAAAGGTGGGTTCAAGCTTCCTTTCCTTGGTCCCATAGCTCTGAAAACCAAAGGTAAATTTGCTATAGCAACAATTCTTTTAAAAGGATGATGCCATTTCCTTTTTAGGTGCCTATCCTCAGCTTGCTATTCTGAATCCCATGTGGAGGCAGGGTTTTCTGTGAAGCCTCTTGAGATTGAATTTTGCGCTCCCTTAGCTGCCCAAACCAAGTCTACCCTGTGCGTGGGAACGCTGGTTTTGACACATGCCTCTAAGGAACTCTTGTAATTATAACTTAATTAGATGTCATTCTAAAGATTCTTAGGAGTATTCTAGATTTAATATTATCTGTATCTTCCTCATTTTGGTGGATGATTGATCATACTGCTATTGGCAGGTTTTTAACTTTGTCTTGGTCAAATCAGTTCAGTCTGCTGGCAGGACATGGAGACAAGCATGTCAGAACCAATAGTTTTGGCTTTGTCCCTAATCTCCCTACAGTCACTCTTTGCACGAGTCTTTGGCTTGGAGGTCACCTTCTCTTGTCTGCCCTTAATCTAATCTAATTTATTTCTGTTTTCTTGAATCCTTTCCTATCTTTATATGTCCTGTCATCGGTGATTATTCTCTTTTGTGTGTCACTTCTCTGTAAGGGATGAGTTTTCTAGTGGGGAAAATAATGTACGCTCTGAGATTTTCCTGATGCTGACTTTTCAATAAGAAAAAAATAATCTGTAGTTGATGGCTATGAAGTACTAAATATGGGAGGTAGAGCAGGGTGCAGTTCTGTTTTTATCCTGTAGTATTAGGAAATATAAAGTTGAAACATATGCAAAGAGCTCTGTGTTTGCTCAGATTTTGTCAAATATTTATGCGTATTTCAGATATGTCCCAAATAACACACCATAGCATTGTGAACTGTTTGGATTTGTATGAGAATGGAAACAGAAGGTTATACAAGTCAATATCAGAGTACAGTATGTTGCTGTGTGTTATGCTACTCCATATGCTATATTGGGAAAGCTTATAAAGTAAGTAGTATAGTATATGGTATATACTGGCAAACTCTTCTAGTGGAAGTACATCTTTCTTTTGTAATGATTTTATTGTTTAGTAACTACCTGCAGTGTTCTGGACACTGTGATGGTGTTTGTGCTGGTTTTCGCTAGCCAGACAGATGAAGTCAAGCACTTCCTGAGAAGCCAAGCAAAACTGTCTCCTACCATCAGCCAGAAGCCTGGTGGTTTTTTAGCTCGTATCTTGACACATTACACCATTATGGAAAGAACTGAAATAGGACTGGAAAGAGGACTAAGTTCTATGTAAGTTCTTAGGGAAATTTTGTTACAGTCCCTTTCTGGTTCGCTATTTAAAAATAAGGAAGTCTTTTCAACTACTTGTGAAGTGCGAACGTACAGTTTCAGTGGAGGATCCTATTTCGTGACTCAAACCCCTATGATTTCAGGGAAGAGCATGTCTCTGACCCAGTGATGAACTGGTTAGCTGTGATGCAGAGTGCTTTGGCCTCTGGAGCACAGGAAGGTACTGCAGTCTAACACGTTGCAATTTTCACTCTTACATAAGAAATAATATTAAGGAACTTGTGCAAAGGTGCCCACACATGAATAACTCAACTGGCATAAAGTTATCCAAAAAATGTCTTGTGTGGGCTGTTGTGTTTCTTCAAATGGGTTTTCATAGTATTCGGTACAATCTTGATGAAATCCCTGCTTCAGTGTGAGGATTGGTGAAATATCAATAAACCCCATGTGGAATTTTGAACAGAGAATCCTTGGGAGGTTCTATGACTCACTGTTGGCATAGACCTCATTCAAGATGCTACATGTTATATTAGATGTTTCATGTTATTTAGAAATGCTGGAGGAAATATCTTGAAGTTTGACTAATTAGAAATAGTATTGGTAACAGACGGACAAGAGAAAATACTGTAGAAACGTTGCTTCTGTGAGTCTTTGTTTTCTTTCAAGCACATAGTGCTGGCTGAGCAAGGTCTTCCAACTCTGGCAAAAGGTTTTGCCACTGAGCTGCGTAGCTGAGCAGAAACCCGGTATTTGGTATGTGTTCACGACTATCAGGCAGTCTTTGGAGAATTTCAGTCTATACGCTGAAAGCAAGAGTAGATAACTGTCCTTCATGAGCAGCTGATCTTGAAACAAACTGTCTTGGCAGTGCTCCCAAGACTGATTCAGTCAGTCCCCGCCTAATGAACTGAAGGCCACCTTCCTGATCATTAACAGGAAACAAGCTGCATGGATTTTATTCAGCTTTGGATTTTTAGGCTGGTGTCCTGAGCACTTAGTGATTTGTGTTAGGTAGTGGACCACTCAAAAGTCATTACCCCATAAATCTGGTAGATTGGAGCGGAATTTCTTCAATTTTTGGTTTATTGCATGTGAGGAAATCTCAAGAATATTCATGTCTCTCTGATTGCCAGACCTTTTTTTCTGAGTATACATACTTTTATTCCGGTTGGATAGCATTTGTAATGTAAATGTTCTGTGTCTAAAATAGTAATAGCATGGAGTTGCAAGGTATCAGGCATTCTGTGTATTAATTTGCCTAATTATGCCTAGATAAAGTTTGAGTTTAGTGACCCTATCAGGTGTAGGCGTTTCACAGATGCCTTCTTTTTGACAGTATCATGGGAAATGATAGCCCCAGCGATCATGCTTTGTTCCAAATTAGCTTATATTTAGTAAACTTAACTCCTTGAAGTAGTTTGAGTTTTGCACAAATGGTGGATCTCAGCAGCAGAGCCAGTTGGTATTGCATTATTATACCATGTGTGGAATCAGATAAATTTTATCATATCTCATTGTGCGCTCAGATAGGGGGAAAGTTGATCTCCTTTCTCCAGGTTGTTCTTCAGTCCTTATGTTTACTATCAGCTCTCCTGTCTCATCTTCCATGTGGTCCACTCAAAACCAGGTCTAGAAATAATATGGGACTTGATAGTTGCAAGCATCAGAGGCCATGATCAGTTATTTCTTATTGCTACCATCGCACAGGGTTCCTTTTAAGTAAAAACTACTTACGAAACTGGGATTTTGGGGTGCAGGGCTCCCTTGCTAGTTCCTCCTGCAATGGTAGGAACTGGTGAGATGTTAAAAAATGGGCTTCTGTGTCAGAAACTTTGGAGGTCCAGTAGTATTTGCCATCTGGTTTGGAACTGCCACCTGCCATGCAAGGAGTCCCTGTGTACCATGTTTCTAATTTGTGTTTAGTAGCTGAAGAGGGGTATGTCCTGACAAAATGGAAAAACGTCCCACACTGCCATTAAGTCAACTTAGCAATTTTCATAGGGCTAAACCAGGGAAGTGACATTCTTGCTATATGAGGGGATGAGCATAGCTGATGTAGCTACAGTGGCTAGAGTTGGTCTGTTTTCACGCTCCAGCCTGATAGTCATGCTGGCAAAACAGTAGTCTTGATTTGCCCTGAATGGGATGAAGAAATATTTCCACAGCTGTTTTCCTCCTGTAAAATTCTTTGTAATATACTTTATCACTCAGGGGTTCTGTGCTTTGGAAAGTATACGCACATATTGATTGTTTTTCCTGCCAGGTTTTGAGTATAATGCATTATTTTATGATTATATATGAATTTTCATTTGTTTCATTATTGATAGCTTCTAATTTCCTGATACGTCAAGAGAATAGAGCACGACTAATATTTTTTTATGATCTTACAGTTACTGACTGTACGTTAATTTGCATTTTAGAATTCATTCATATCTGAAATGACTGTATTTCTGGTTTTGAATATAAAACATATTTACTAGCTGAAAACCAGAAAATTGACTTTACTTGGAGTGATGGGTTAGAAAAGCTTACCTCTTCTTGCTGACAAAGCAATCTATCTAGAGTTGTGTGCAGTTTTCAGTGCATGAGTATTTTAATAATGCACTAGCTTTTAACAATTCAGATTTTTCCTACAAATACTTTGTATTGATGTATTTGTGCTTGTTTGTGTCCATCTTGGGGAATTGTATGTGAAACATAAACCTCAGCTGGAAAAACTGAATAAAAATAGTTTCACTTAGTTGAGCTTAGCAACCAATGGGGAAATATGTACAGCGTTTGTATCACTATTTTTTAATGCCATAATTATGCATGGGAAGAAATAGGTTCCTAAGAACAGTATTAGGATTGCTTTTTGAGCAATGATGTGAATATTGCATTCAGCAGTGACACGTAGCAAAATGTGGCAGGGCATTTGAGCATGATAAAGTCACTGTGTGCTGTGTACTGTTGGGAGTTTGGAATGACCTGGAGAGGTAAAAAAATAAAATACAGAACACTGAGTATTGCAGCCACCAGCAGTGGAATTGTTCAGAATAATTAATCTCTGTGGTGCCAGTCAAGCCTTAGACAAAAGAGGTGGGGACCACAGACTGTCTCCCTGGGAATACATGAAATGAATAAAGAAGGTGTACTATTGCATGAGCAACCTGTCATCATCAGATGATGAATTTCTTTGTTTTCCAAGAAATATGGACTATATGAAGAAGTGGAGGAACCAGTCTTGCAGCTTGTTATAACAGGACTCATCTCAAGAGGGATAGGATTTATCTCAGCCAATTAGTCATATTTTTAATTAATATCATCTTAATCTGGACATGTAATACAGGTCAGATGAATCACTTTGTAGATGTGCTGGTTTCTCTCCATTGACTGTAACTGGAATACAGATGGCTTCTGCAGATATGGCTGTCTACATAAGAGGCATCTCATTTAGTTTTAGATATTTTATGTCATGGGGATTCTCGTGTGCCAAACCCCAATAATCCTGTCATGAAATTCGGTGGACCGTAGAAATGTCAGAGATCATATTTTGAGAACAGAAGTAAAATGTATGAAGTTTTTCCATGAGACATCTAGTGGTATGCACTTAGAAGTTAATGTCACGAGACTATAAAGTCTGTAAGACAGGCTACTGAAATAAGCAATGAAGGAAAGGAAATTCCATATTTAAAACTGCAGAGCCAGAGCATTGGTATGATCTTTAAGTTGCGATCCAAATGAAAGTTGCATCCTTGATTACAGCAAAAAGATAAGCCAAGGCAAAATAAGTACAGAATTGTAACCAGAAGAGTAAGTTTCTCATCACAGATGATAAAAATAAATCATATTAAAATTTGGGCAGATGGGCGCTAGCCTGGAGAAACTGCAGTTCTTAAATATATTGTCTGTAATCAGTGACAAAGAAGAAATTTTTAATGAAGGCACCTGCTGATGAGACTGACTGAAGTGACCTTCTGGTAGCAAAGAGTGAAGTTAGAGCAGAGACACTAGATGACACAGAAGACCTCAGGAACCTCCTTCCTGGACTGATCCTGCTTCAGGCTATGTGAAAGGGACTGCTAAGACAATTCAGGATAGGCATGGACGAGGCTAAATTCGGTTTCTTTTGTGTGGTCTAGAAGACACTGAAATGTTCAGCCAGGCTCTCTGAGACCTGTCAATTCTGGGATAGCAACATCAAAGCTATTAAATTCTGTTTTGTATAAATGCTTTCATGTAAAGGTTTTATCAGCAGTAAGGACAGGATATAACTGTAGTTTGGGTTGGGACAGACTATTCATACACCCAGCAGCACGCCGTACGGTAATACAGATTTGTTGACTCCCACGTACACATACATGCACTAGGGCACAGAGACCAATACCAGCTGAAACAAAGTAGTGATTTACATTATGGTGGGTTATGGTGGTTACTTGGCATGTTATTATTGTTGCTATTTAAATAAAATCCCCTAAAGTTTATTTCAGACAAGGTTGAAGTAACTATAGTACCATAATACAGCCAGTAGGAACATTTTGTTTATGTAAAGGTAAAATATTATAGTTGTTCAACAGATTGCAGACTTCCTTTTGTGGGCATTTGTAATTACTTGGGACCAAATCCAGTTCCTAGTAAACTTGGTAGGAATCTTTCAGTCAGTTCCAGAGGGACTTGGATCAAATTTCTTTAAGTTTTTGAAGATGCCAAGTTTTATGAAATTAGCGTTTTAGTGTTTGCTGGGTGCTTGATACAGTGAGGAACAAGACTTCCTTTGGGGCTCTGCATCATACGTGCAGTGGTATGTTTCGCCATGAAATCATCTTAATTGGATGGGGTAATGAGAAGGTTAATGGGTCTACCTGGTCGCTGCTTTAGAAGTTGTTTGTATGATAATATAGGAGGCATGGGGAATAAATAAGAGGACCTGAAATCTTAATCCATGAGCAACAGTGTGACTGAACTAGTATAGCAAAGACGTGGTGGTAGGACAGGGAGGAGGAAGCGGCTGTTGCTGTTGTGTATCAGGTTCAGACACTTGTGCTGGGACCCAGTGGTAGAGGGAGTTGGACATACTGATGGTCCATGAGTCATACTGAAAGAGGAAAATCTCATGGGCTCTGTTACGCAGGCCTTGCACAGACCACCAACCAGATCAGGAAGGTGGGGATTTTTATTGGCAGAGTACAGGCGGTGGTGATAATGGGAGATTTTAATTAATCAGTCATCTGTTGGAAACTAATAAAGGAGAATACCAACTGCCCAACACATTTTGCGATGCACTTATGATCAAATTTTGAGATAGTGGGAAAAGGAATCGAAGGGGAAGCTATTCTATTTGATACCAACTCTAAGGGAGAATAGGGAGAGAAAAGGCAGCTTGAGTGAGAATTACCCTGGGATGACAGAGCTCGCATATTTCTGGAAGGGAAAGATGTTGAGTGAAAGAATCAGAACAACAGGTTTCAAGGGGGTATGAGAGGACTGTGGGCATAATCTCTTTGGAAATGAGTCTGGAGAAAAGAAGCTAAAGGAATTGGTTGTTCCTCAAAGAAAAAATACAAAGAGAAAAAATGCAAATTGAGACAGCACAGGATAAGGACAAAAAGCACCTTTCTAAAATATAAACACCTTATTTATATCAAGCACAAGAAGCAACCATATAGAAAACTAAAACTAGTTTGGATTTTTCAGAACAAGTGCACAAGAATAGTAAAAGATATAGAGAAGAAAAAATAATCAAAGAAGCCAAGGCCAAAAAGTGTCAGCAAGAAGAGACTGTGTACATGAAAAAACATGGGTAGTAACAGAAATTGTTGTGGAAGTATATTTCTGGTAAGAGCATGTTCCAGGAAAGTGTTGCTCTACTGCTTAACAGCAGCATGTCAGTCTTCACTAGTGGTATTAAAAGCATATGGAAAACTCGGCCTAGAATAAAGGACAAATCAGAGAGTACTTAATGTGTTAGGTGTTCCTAGGCTAGCTGTGTCTGAGACACGCTATACTTGGAAATTGGAAGAAATGGCTAAATCAGTCTCAGCTCTTAGCAATTACCATTGAGAAGAGAAATGAGAGAGTATAAAAAACAGAAAACTAGAAAAACTGATCTTTAAAAAGATGGGGGAACTATGGGGGGAAGAGGCCTATGACAAATTTACAAATAATTTTTGCTTCTAAAGAGATTGCAGACAAATATTCAAATATTTTCTAAGTACCTGGAGGAAAGCAACAAACGGCAATCAGCACGGGTTTGTTGGAACTCTCTAATACCCTATAACAAGAGATTAAAACTTGTGAATAAAAGAAAAGGAACAGATGTCCTACATTTTCACTTGAAGAAACTTCTGAATGCTGTCTCACAAGACTGCCCTATAAACAAGCTAGGGAACATCAAGCAGTGTCTTAATGCAAGTTGCATGCAATATAGCTGCAAAATTGCTTGGATAAGGTAACCCCCAAGCAGCTACTGCTATTTCACTACCATGTGTATTCCACAAGAGTTTATTTTAGAGGCTATTCTGTTTTTTTCAGTTATAATCTGGGTTATGTATTAGAGAGCATGCTTGTTAAATTTGCAATTGTGACAAAGTTGAGAATGGATGGGAAGGATGCCGGAGAGCAGGATTAGAATTGAAAATTATCTTGACACGCTGGAGAAATGGCTTAGGAAATAAGGTAATATTTAAAAGGTCTAAGTGCATGGTACTACACTTGGGCAGAATAGTACACAGCTGTGTACAGGGCACAGGACAGCTGGTTAAGCAGTGGATTTTGAAAACAATCTATAAGTAATGAATATTACATGAATAAACATAATCAAGCTGTTGTGAAAAAGGTATGGCTGAATGAAAAAGATACATAGCCTGCGAAATGTATGGAGTAATTCATCTGTTGTAATCAGTTCTTTGCTCAGCTCAAATATTGGGTCCAGTTTTGGGCATCACACTTTAATAAAAAATAGGGCTAATTGGAGAGAGTTCAGAGAATGGCAATGAGGATACTTAGACAATTAAAAAACATGACTTCCAAGGAAAAAATTGAAGAACCAGATTTATTTACCCTAGAAAGTAACAGATAGGTAGGAGAGAAAAGTTTTCCAGTATATAAAAAACAACAACAACAACAACAACAAAAAACCAAAACAAAACACACAAACAAACAAACAAACAAAACCCCTACAAACTACGTTGAACTTACATGGATAAAGGGAATGATCTGATCTCTGCATCTAGTGTGGATAGCGTAAATTCTAACAAGAAAGAATTAGTTTAGACATTAAAAAAAAATTCTGATAGTAAAGTAAGATCACTTAGGACATGTTAGATGAGAAGTTTCTAAGTATATTTGCGATCTTTTAAAACACAGAAAAAACCCATGTCCAAAAATGATACAAGTATAGCTTTTTTTCACTGGCAGTTTGGAGATGAGGTGCTCTGGACCCTGTCAGCAGTGTCTTCTGTGATTCTCTATTGAGTGTGTTACATGACTACGTATTATTGCTGTGCCACACAATGCATTTTCTGTTCTGTAAATCTTATGAAACCGTATTGTACTTTGAGTTAAGATTATACTTTCTTTTTTTTATTTCAGTGTGTGCAGAAGCTTACAATCCTGATGAGGAAGAGGACGACGCAGAATCTAGGGTATTTAGTGCTTTGAGTCAAGTACTTATTTTTTCAGTTCTCAGGTATTAAATTTGGGAAGAAAAATGTAACCAGCATTACAATTCCTTCCCAAAAGCATCCTTATTATAATATACTTTAATAATCTGTGGGTTTTTCATTTAAAAATTCTCTGTAATAGCCACCCATGTAGGACCTGATGTGAGTAATTATGCTAAATTACCGCACCTTTGATACATTGTCTATTAAGGAAACATTTTTGGGCAATTGCATTTGCCTAGAGAGCACCTGCTCCTAAAAGTACTTGTCTGGTGTCCTCATAATCTCGCAGTAGTTTCCTCAATGTTCTAGTATTTTTCATAAGGCAGAAAAAAGGTAAATTATAAAATCACTAAGATTCTCAAATGTACAATGCAATAGCTGATGAACTATATTTCTTTTACTTATGTCAGCCTTTTAATGGCATTTACTTAACTTTTAATATGAAATAGCTTAAGTATGACATTTAAGACAAGTTTAAATGTTTGTATTCTGCCTAATTTCTGGCTTGTAAAACTGTCACAAAGGTTATTCTATAATATCACAGCTTTGAAACCTAGCATACCTTTTTAAGCATATGAGTTGAATAAACAACTTGATTGACAGTCACATTAACCAGACATTGGTAATTTAGTAAATCTCTGGCTCACTTGGATAGTATCAAGTCTGTTGTTTACTCTGTGAAAAGTCTGATATAAATTTAACGTAGATACTATTTCACAAAATATTCTTTGGGAAGTAGTCATGGCAAATGGCTAAATGTAACAATGGTGCTTTTTATAAAACATGGATGCTCCATATATGATTAGAGAGCAGTAGAGTTGTGTTTATGCAGCAATAGTTGACAAAGGTATACAGCTTGCAGAAACGAACTGGATTCTAGAAATCTTGCTAGCTTAAATACAGCAGTGCCTCATTTGCTAATGCTATGGTGATACAATGTTGTCATTGAGTGCTTATTCAAATCCTGAAGGTTTAGAAATGAAAGTGTTATGAAGCATGGCCAAAATACTGTGTAAAATGCTTAGCTGAATTAGGTCAATCCTTCAGTTAGTGCTGCTATTTGATAACCACTTTAAAGGTTTTTCTCTTATATCCCTCAGATTATTCACCCTAAAACAGATGATCAAAGAAACAGACTGCAGGAGGCGTGCAAGGACATTCTTCTTTTTAAGAACCTAGATCCGGTAAGAGATTCTTTGTAATGAACAAAATTTAACAATGCTGCTAAGAATTAATTCTCTTGAACTTTTCAACAGAAGTTTACAGATCTGACTTTTGTAAGCTCTTATGTATGCTTTCTTGACCATTTTGTAAACTCCAGAAATGCCATTTTTATAACTGATAAGTCATATATAGAGCCTTTTGTTCGCTATCGTGAATGATAGTCTTGAAGTACATTAATATGTACTTCAAGATTCATTAATAATATGAATATACACATTAATATGAATGTAAAGTATTTTATTTTCTTATCTTAACTCTTCTCGCTGGTCATTGATGTATATAAACTCATCAGTTAACTCAAATAAAGTTGTTCTACTAGTTAATTTTTATTATCTGAAAGTGTTCTGAGTGCTCCACCAAAACCTAAAATTACCCCCAAAGCCTACAGTTTGGCTATAGATTTAATTGAACAATCAAGGCATGAAATACAGGGAAAGAGAAAGGAAATAGCAAGGTGTTTACTGTATTATTTCACTTAATACAGATACCATAAAAATGCTACAGGTATTTTTTTTTTCTGTGCAGATAATTTCCTTCTGTTGCCTATAAAAACAATTCTGGGCTTTTAAGAAAGCCTAAATGCAGTGAATGAGTGATCTGGATCAGACGAAGGTGATAATGCTATAAAAAAGCACAGGGTTGTTTAAGGGAAAAGGTGAGTGTATCAATCAAAACATGCATACTGAGGTTCAGATGACTCACACCTCACTCTTTCTCAAGAGAATTGATTCAGTGCTGTCAGGGGAGGGAACATGGGGGAAAGGGAAATAATTATGTAGAGTTTTAAGCAGGAGAACAAAAAGATTTAAATTTGATTCAAGAGGGAGCTAATGGAAAGACCAGCCTGACGCTCTGTTTAGAAGTCAGATGCTGTTACAGGGAATGCAGGTTAATTCGTGCTGCGGGTTTCCAGCTCCTGCTTTTGTCTGCACAAAGGCTGAGCCCTGACCCTGGGTATCTCTTGCCAGAGAGGCCTTGGGGAGCAGTCAGCCACAGACCCACAGCTTTGCAAAACCCTGGAGTTAGAGCTATAGGAGGGCATCAGGAGTATCAGTGTAAGTGCTAATATGTGTGCATTCTTGGGACACTAGGGATCCTGACACAGAAGATTTCCTAACTCGCTGCCTCATGCTATCTCTTCACTGGGTAGTTAATTAGCTGTTCCACTATACTGGTTCAAGCTAAAGTCACCCAGACTTTTGCCCCTTCCACTCCTCAATTATTTTTCTGCATAATGTCAGGGACACAAAGTGGTTTGTAGGCATCTGCTGGATGTGAAATTGCTTTACTATATATTTTCCGTATTGTTGCTGTGTCCTGCCTTCCACTTGGCTAGACCATTGTTACATTAGCCTGCCAGTGGCATTTTGGCAGACCCCTCTTGGTTAGTGTGAGCATTTCCCTCTTATGAGCCCTGTGACCCAGTGGATTATTGTGTGCTCCCAGAATCTGCTGTGATGTTAATTTTGAGCTACTGCTTTCCTGATTCTGGCTCTACACGGTTTCTTGGTAGTAGCTGCTTACAGTATCAGTTGTCTGGATGAGATCCACTTTGCCTTCCAGTGAGAACTAGATCTCCTGTCTAAATAGTCATCAACCACGCGGTCTGCAGGACAGGGATCTATTGGCTTTGTATCAGCTATATTGTGATGTGTAGATGTAGAGCATTAAATTGTTCCAGTGTGGGCACTTGATATAACTCTTCCAACGAATATCGAGGGATTACTTCCCCTGTTTGTGGAGGTTTGCTCAGGACTGTGCTGCTGTCTTAATACCGTATTCCCTTGATGGTTTGAACTCCTTTTCTTTTTGCTTCTGAATCAGTTATTTGCAGTTGTGAATAGTTCCCACAGTCTGTTCCAGGTGTTTAGCAGAAGACTTCTTAGCTGAGTGCTCCCCTTGTGGAGGTCTGCAATCCAAAGCCTTGAAATCCGCTCCTGGGGTCTCCCAAGTCTTGTTTACCCTTTGCTCAGATTGTCCAGTGGATTAAGAACACTTCCTTCTGCTTTAAATCCTTCACAGATAGCATTCTGAATAGTTGAATAAGATAATTTTTGTAAAGGAGTTTTTCATTATAATAACTTTACTCATAAAAGGCATTGGAAATCTACCGAGCTCTGATCTGCAGAGTTCAGAGCAAGGGTTTTTAAATGTAGTGTTCTTCAGTCTGGCTTGCTTCTTCCGTGGAGCCAAGATCTGTAATCCCCAGGGGACTTCTCCCACTCTTCCTTCTTGTTCTGCTGCTAGGCAGTGACTCGAGCTCTGCCACGGTAGTTGCAGTAATTTAAATGTTCCTATCCCAGCTCTCTTCCTCACCTCTGCCTCTCCACCCTGCAGCACAAGTGCATGTGGTGCCAGCTGCTGCAGTTTGCTCTCTGGTGTATTAGCAAAAAAACTTCATCTTGGAGAGAGATAATATCTTCAGCTGCTAAAGCTAAAATCTCTGGAACAAAAGTCAAGCTGTATATTGATAGCGTCTCCCACTCCCACTGTTTTTTTCTTGCACTGAACTTCAGCCTCTTTCTGCTATAGTTCTGTGTATGAAAAACATTGTTTCGGAGGTCAGTGAGTTAGAGGGGAAGAGACAATTAAAGTGCTTAATGGCTTTTCCCTGATGACCTTTTAGCAAGGTGTCAAGCACCATTCCTAGATAGGGTACTGCTCTGAAATACAGTATAACAACATATCCTAAGGCATGATCAGAATTGCATTCAGTACATAATGCTAAATGGAGTCCACATTTTCTTAAAACTTTATCTAACACACTGTGTTTTAATTTGAATGGAAGGAGAAGATAAGGATATCATTAAAGCAGGAGGAGAAGTTGCAGCAGTTAGGAGGTGACTTATAGTGCTGCTCAGCATTTTAATTAAAGAGTCCATCTGAGCAGACAAGAGTTTTCACATAAAAGTAAAAAACAGCAGAACCATTTGAATGTGAGGCAAAATGAGAGAGAGGAGAAAAAGATAACCTTCAGACTTTGAGACAACTTAGGACTTCCTAAAGACGCACAAAACACTGTCTTGAGCCTGCATTTACCTGATAGCGATGTTTAAATATCAGATCAGTAAACTTATGGAGAAACATTTATAAATATCAATATTTTACATATTGGCTCTGACTGAAAATATAGCATATTATAAAGGAACACCAGCTCTGGTACAATTCCCTGAGCAGCACTCTGTGTTTTAAAGACCAACTCTTATAAATTCCTTAAAGTCTGTGAAGTTACTTGAATTTTCTTGAAACTTTCTTTAACTTTGTGGATTGATGAGGATGTGACTGGTCAACTAATGTCAGTTCAGCAAGGCACACCTGAGTTAACTCCCTTAAATAAAAAGTACTTCTAAAAAATGGATATGATACATTTTTTTCACCTTTCTGGGGGCTTAATTGCTTCCCATCTGGTTGCTGTCACTCAATGTCAGTTTTAGCTTGTGCGTAACAGTATTGAAAAAATTACTTGAAGAGAAAAATATGGATTGAAACATGCATGTACAACAACATGAGGGAAAGAAGTTTTTGCAGAGCTCTTTGGCTACTTTTTAGAGGACCAGACCTGGAAAGAATCAAGAGAAATTCCAGGAGAACAACTTTGTGGATGAGTGAATTAAGAGAGAAACATGCATTCAGATGTTCATTTTCCTCTGCCTACGCTATTAATCTAACCTATGTTAGATTCGCCTGTTCCTCTTCTAAAGCACCTCTTCCTGGTCTTCTTCCCAGAAAACCTCTTCCTGTAGAGCACAGTATTATTTATTGTTCATCTCAATTGCCTACTACACCATTGCCACAGACCCTAGTATTACTTTTGTTCTCCTAGGATTGCCATGGTGTGCCAGGCTGCTTGCTCTACATGCACGCCAAAAGCATGTTACCACACCTTCTCCTTTGTGCTCCAGATGCTGGAGGTTACTGGCAGTGGAATCAGAAGCTGCGTGCCCTCTTTCCCCTCCACTTTCACTTTGTATAAGGTAGCAAGGAGAAAACAAAATGATGGCCAGATGCCTTAGGCCATTACTGAGGACGATGCCCAAGTCACTATTACTGGAATTTGTATCTGTTCAGCCTAACAACTGCTTTATTACTGGGAGGAATAGCAGCAGCAGCTCATCCAGTGGCCAGTGCAGCCTTCTACACTTCCATTTTACAATGCAATTCAGAGGAGTTATTCTTTTGGTTTTGTCTTTTAAGAGGAAACTTTGCTGGGGCTGATTAACAACAGACTATTTGGTTTTGCTGTTGTGCCCATAGGCCAGCAGTTAAAAAACCTGATTAACCTATTATCAGAGTAACAGGGTGGCTCAAGCGACTGGTGCCAAAGCTGTGCTGCACCCTTGAACTTAAAGCTTGAGTCCTTTCTTTTGCAAAAATTCACAGGTGGCGTCAGATCATCTGTTCTCTTTCAGGGAAATTTTATTTTGGAGAGCTTTGCCCTGCTAATGCTTGTAGAGAATATTTCAAATAGGTCTTGACCCTTTTCTAAAAGGTAATAAATTATACATATTCTTTACAAATATGCAAGAGCAATTTCGTGGGGGGGCATAGTGCCACTCTTGCACCTGGGGAATTATTATAAGAGAGCACAAATATTGATTAATCAATTCTAATTGATTAACTTGAAGGAAGATGAAAGCAAGCATAATGCAACTGCATTTTATGAATAGTGGACTCTTACACTTAAGGCCAAAGCATTCTTTGAAAAGTGCAACTAACAGAAGAGTCTCATAATGCTTTTATGTTCTTAAAACTTTTGGTGAATTAACAGGAATACATATATGTAAGAGAGAGCCCAGAATGCCTGACCATGTTAATATTCTGCCCGTCTAGATATCACAAAACTCTTTGCAAACTAATGGGTTCCCAAACAAATAGTACTGGACTTAATCCTTTCTTTTTTTTTTTTTTCCCTAAGGCAAAATTAATTAATTAAATAATTTCATTTATTTCTGCCTTTTTT